CAGATTTTGCAGTAAAAATTGCATGGGGCGCCCTATTTGGTCGCCCCTTTTTAACTTATACCCATTTTGTTTTTCCTGTATCCGTACCATTTTTGTGTTAAAAGCGTTTTAAAATCTTAAGCATGTTTAGGCATGTTTTGCCCTTCTTTAATAAAACTTAAGCATGTTTTGCCATTCTTTAAACTTAAGCATGTTTTGCCCTTTTTTAATAAAAGACTATTGACAAATTGCAGGATAAAAATTTAAGCATGTTTAGGCTGAAGTTTTAGCAAATAAACTAAAAAAATTCAGCTTGTTTAGACTGAAGTGTTGGATAAAACTCAGGACAAAACTGTAGACTACGTTACAAAACTTCAGCATGTTTTGGTATGAAGTTTTAGCAAACGAACTAAATAACTTCAGCATGCATTAGCAAAAATTCTTTAGAAAATTACATACTGCAAGACAAAAACATAAGCATGTTTAGTCTGAAGTTTTAGCAAATGAATTAATAACTTAAGTATGTTTAGTCTGAAGTTTTAGCAAATGAACTAAATAATTTAAACATGTTTAGTCTGAAGTTTTAGCAAATGAAATAAATAACTTCAGAATAACTTAAGCATGTTCAGTCTAAAGTTTTAGCAAATGAACTAAATAATTTAAACATGTTTAGTCTGAAGTTTTAGCAAATGAAATAAATAACTTCAGAATAACTTAAGCATGTTCAGTCTAAAGTTTTAGCAAATGAACTAAATAACTTCAGAATAACTTAAGCATGTTTAGTATAAAATTTTAGCAAATGAACTAAATAACTTCAGCATGTTTAGTCTGAAGTTTTAGCAAATGAACTAAATAATTTCAGCATGTTTAGACTGAAGTTACGGATAAAACTCATGTAATAATAATTTAATTTTTAAAGCGTAGAGGACAATTACGATATTCTCCATCAGATTTATTTTGACCTTGATTATTTTTCCTTAATATTATCTTTTCAATTGATTAAACTAATATCCAATTGCGATTAACATATCTTCATCATCCGATATATACTGCTTCTTTATTGTTCTCACGTTCTTAAGCACCATTAAGGGTGAGGCGTTTGGGCTTTATTAATTCTTACAAACTCCATCAGTTATTTCATGACAAATAACTTTAGCATGCATTAGTATCAAACAACTTCTTTAGTTTCAATATGAAACAACTTTATATAAGTGTGATTCTGAAAATGAATCTAGATAAATTTATAATTTTTTAATAAAGCTGATGAGAGGAATACCGTTTTATATCTTTTATGGGGAGTATAATTATCATATTATTATAAATTTTTTATCAGTTGACTATTAAATTATAATTTTTAAAAATATAAAGTACGACTGAAAATCTCTCGATTTTGCAAAAACTTGTTGGCATGCAGAACCATGATTTACACTTACAGGCCCACATCCACCTACCCTTTTTGGATAAAGAGATAGGTTTCTTTTTATAGAAAGAAAATATGCAACTGACCGTCCTTGCCCGTTAAGCTTCACAATTTAGAAGGTACCCAAATAATTGAAGGAAAATCAAAAGAACTAAACGGATAAAGACATTATATGGGAATACGAGAAACCTTATCCTGTCCTCATCATCCTCATTCCAACCCAAAAACTCTGACGTCTGTATCTGTTCTAACCACTACAAGATAAAAGTGACACCGTCAACTTAAATAATCTAATCTTAAAATTATAGATAAAAATGATAATATAGTTTGGCAGTAATTTAAAATTTTAAGCACACATATCAAAGGGCATGGTCGAATATAATTATATAAATAAAAAGCATCTTTAACGATTAAAACATTTTGATAAGATAATTAGAATTAAATTAAATGATATTTAAAAAACACATTTTGAATTAGTAGTCAATTGATTTGGTTTGGTAACTTAGGGATAAGTTATTTTTTTTCATCCTCAGCCTCGTTTATCAGTATCAAAACAGGAGTGCAACGTTCTATATATACCCAAACTAAGAACAATCAATTCCTATTCCACTCCTTCAACAAAATATCAAGAGAAGTTGTGTATTATTAGATTATAATTCTGATCATATTCAAGGCAAAAAGAAGAAGCAATGTTGGCGATATTTCACAAGGCATTTGCGCATCCACCAGATGAGCTACATAGCCCTTCATCTAAAAGATGTTTGCTACCTGAAGAAACTCTTGAAAAATTCGTATCAGCTCACCCCTCAAATACCTTTTCTGTAAGCTTTGGAAATGCTGCTGCTCTTGCCTTTGTTCCTCCTCACTGCACTTCCTTCCTTCATCAGACACAAAGGTAATTATTCCCCCCCTTTCAATTTATTTGACACTAAGTTTTTATTAATCCGTTTTAAAATGATTGGGACAACTATTTCTTTGAAATTATTTAACTTTAAATTTCAAACCTCTACCTCTACTTTGGGTAGAGGAATCACTGTAAAATATATATATATATATATATATGTTAAATAACATGAATAACATGTATTGGGACCCTAAGACTTAAAACTTAGGGCTGCTGCAGTGGTTGAATTAGGGGAGGGGAAGGGTTCTCACCCCAGTATTTGCTTAAATTTTTATTTATTAGTGGTCCCGCTACTTTTAAATACTGATGTTATAACATATTTAAGACTATTTTTTTAAAGTTTATAATTTTTGCCTAGTCAAACTATATCACAAATAAGTATAAATTTAAGTGTTTTTTGCATTTATTTTGATTTTTTAAATCAAAATCGAAGAAATTTTGGGTTGATGGAGTATTTTTTTTTTCCCTTCTTTTAATTGGAAGGTTGTTTTGTGGGTATGATGATATATACTGCTTGTTTTTGGGGAGCTTGAACAACTTATGTGCACAAATAAAACAATATGGGCTATCAAAAGCTACAAATGAAGCGTTGCTAGTGATAGAAGCATATAGAACATTGAGAGACAGAGGACCCTATCCAGCTGACCAAGTTATTAAGGATTTTGATGGGAGCTATGCCTTTGTAATCTATGACAGTAAGACTGGTACTGTATTTGTTGCCTTGGTAAGTTTTCACCTAACTAAGGAATTTGTGTAACATCTGCATTATATTTATTAGAGTAAAATAGAAAGATATTCTTTTCCAACTGCTATTGTAAAATAATTGTAGGGTTCAGATGGTGGAGTGAAGCTGTTTTGGGGTATTGCTGCTGATGGTTCTGTGGTAATTTCTGATGATTTAGAGGTCATTAAAGCTGGATGTGCAAAGTCATTTGCACCCTTTCCCACAGGTAACATCTACACGGAATTTGACACAACAGTAGTGTACACAGTATTTTGTGCAAGATTATTATAGTTTTAGGATTTTACTTCAACAACAACAATAAAAAACAAAGTGTAATCCCACAAGTTAGATCTGGGGAGGGTAGTGTGTACGCAGATCTTACCCCTGCCTATGAAGATAGAGAGGTTGTTTCAAATAGACCTCAGCTCAAGGGACGAAAAGAAATAGTAGCACCAAGCATTTACAACAACAAGATAGTAGGAAAACAAGCGGAAAAACAAAATCAGCAAGTAATAATAGAAATTTGACAATAATAGAATACAGGGCTAACGCTAATACTCTCGACTAAGATTTTACTTCCTATCCCTAATTAATAATTACATTGTGGTGTTGTCTTAGTGTATATATTCACATTTTTGAGAAAAATATTTAGGCCGGAATGACACCCCTTACTAAATAGAATGATTTTTGTATTGTTGAATTCTGTTTGATTACAGGTTGTATGTTTCATAGTGAGAAAGGGCTGATGAATTTTGAGCATCCAATGAAGAAGATGAGGGCAATGCCAAGGGTAGATAGTGAAGGGGCAATGTGTGGAGCTAACTTCAAAGTGGATATGTATTCAAGGGTTAATAGCATCCCCAGAGTTGGAAGTGAAGCTAACTGGTCTGATTGGAATACCTCTTACTAAAAACCATTTTGCATTTCTCCAAATATGGACACCAACCATATTTTGTTCATCTTTTGAGCTGTCCTTTGTGTTTTTGGTTCCTTTTTAGTGTCTTTTAGCTTGCTGTCTTCCCTTTACTTTGTGTACCAGTGTATATATCTCTTTTCCTGTAAAATAAATGAAAACATCAACAAGGATTCAGCTTTGAGAATTTGCTATCGTCCTTTAGCTTGTCAAACAACAAGGCTGATATGATCAATGATGTCTATTTATCAGTATGAAATGATTTTAACACTTTTCAAAAACCATTTGGTTGCAACCTCTTGTTCTTCTTATTAGTTAAATTTAGAAAAGAAAGCGAGTAGCTGCAGTGAACTGACAAAAGAAGTTTTAACAAATGAGGATTGTCTAAAGTCGAAAATAACACAAACAAAGAATTTTTATCCTTTTATAAGCGAGGTCTAGAAGTAATCCCCAGTCCCGTTATATTATAATGCACATAAAAGAGAAAACTTGACGGATACTTGGGAATCACAGAATTTATTTAACTGAATGAAATGTCTGACGGATTCTTGGTACATTAAATACTGTCCTATGAAGAAATAACTTAGGTAAAACATGTACTAGAATTAACCTGGTTTTGGGATCCTGGAGATACTACAACTACTCCTTAGAACAAGAAGAAACAATACCAACTTATTCTACGTCTAAATGACACAAGTTGAACGGAAGCAGGAAGAAACAGCGGTTCAGTACTTGTACACGAATATAAAGTAAATAAGCTTTGCAGCTGAGTATTATTATTCAGTTTAGTTTGTTTGTAGAAATATTTGCTCCTAGCTATGTTCTGCAGGAAATTCAACCCTTCAAACTCTGTTTTGGATTTGGAAAACTGTATCTCAGAAAAGCGTATGACATTGGATTAGCCTGAGGGTCAGCTATGTGAAATTGTGAATCCTCACAGACCACATTGCTTCAACTAAATTCATCTAAAATCCATATTAAAAGAAAAAAAGAAAAAAAGAATTAGCCGGAATCATTAACTAAATTAGGAATTACCCGACTTGGTTGAAAAGGTGCCATGTATAATTATTTTTAGAGGGGAAAAGAGTACAATCGAACTGGAAGCTTCCACCTTGGCAGGACAGTGCTCTTATCCATTGCAATACAAAAGCAGGAAAATAAGAAACCAAAATGTACATGGCCATCACTTTCATATTGGAAGCAAATTGGAGTGATATTTTTATTCCTAAATCAGAACCTTACAACGTAACAACCTTTTTCTACAACAAAACAGAATTTCGATTCAAATCCTCACTCATGAATTCTCTTTTCTTCTTTGCCTTGGCAAAAGTTATGTTCAGTCCGGAAAATTTATGCCAAACCGACGAGTTTCTCACTGACTTCCCACACTTTACGCGCTTTCTCTGCATCACTGGCTTCTTGTGACAGCTGATTTTCAAAAGAAGAAGAATTCTTGTTCCAGCTCCAATAGACACCTGATTTTGTAAGGCTTGGATCACTTACAACCTGTATAAAAGCAATAAACAACATCTTAGGTTAATCTTTTTTCTTGTTAAGGTTAGGTCATTTTCTTTTCTTTCTAGTAGTACTAGGCTACCGGTAATTATTGCTCACTCTGTTCCATTTTATATGACATTCTTTTATTTTAGTATACCCTTCTACACTGGAAAATCTTTTATTATAATTTCCTATTTTACCCTTAGCGACATGATTTTAGTGAAATTCTTTCTATATTGGAAACTCTTTCTGTAAGGGAAGCTTCGAGTGCAGTATCATAGATGGTTCACTTTAAGTGGTATGTTCGAACTCCAAGTGTGGCATTCTTGCAATTCCTTGTATTCTCTTGTTAGAATTTCTGGCTTCGCTACTGCTGGTGATTGTTACCTGTGCGAGTCTCTTTCCAGATTCTGTCTCAGAGACGAATCCCTTGGTAATGTACTTCTGGAATGGAGGGAAAAGGAGCCTAAACAAGGGAATATGCTCCCTGAAGAGTCCTGTTGTTGCTATGCAGCCCGGGTATAAAGAGGCAAATGTGATGCCAGTCTCCTCGTGGTATCGCCTGTGGAATTCCTGCATAGTGAGCATATTGCAAACTTTGCTGTCTTTATATGCTTTTGCACCATCAAAGTCTCCACCATCGATCATGGCCGAGCTGTTCAGCCCGTCCAGTCCCCTTGCCAATCCCCTCAAGTCCCCAAGATTTGCTTTTGGAGGCACATTTCCAGCCAAAGTATTTGTGTTTCCTGAAAATTGAGTTCAGTAACAAAGTTTAGTCTCCCACTGAAAGCAGTAGTAAATTCATAGTCTCAATTCAATAGACTTAGTGAATGGTTGCATTTAGTGGCGGATTCAGAATTTAGACACGATGGGTTCTGAAATGTATATTTAACTTTGAGCCCGTTTGGATTGACTTAAAAAAAAAAAATGACTTTTCAACAGAAATAGCTTTTAAGCCAAAAGCAATAAGTTGGGGTTGCTTAGCTTATTGCTTTTGACTTGTTTTAAGCAGTTTTAATTTATTTTAAGCACTTCTTGACTTTGTCAAACACTAAAAAAAAGTTAAAAAGAGCTTAAAAGCTGATTTGAGCAGCTTAAAAGCCAATCGAAACACCTTCTTTATCTATACTTGTTTTTGGCATATATATCGGATTCGACCCAGAAACATTGGATCCTACTGAACCCGTGAATCCATTGTTGGATCCAGTCATTGGTTGCTTTAGTTACCTGTAATGGAACCAACAATGATGAGTCTCTTTGAAGGGTAATCAGACTGCTTCAAATCATCCAGCAACAATCTTGAAAGAAGGAAGTGACCGAGGTGGTTAGTCCCAACACTAAGCTCAAATCCATCAGCAGTGAAAGAAGGCTCTTTAGCAGTTGGTTGATAAACGGCTGCATTGCAAACCAATACATCAAGAGGGCGGCCTGATCTCCGGAAGTTATCGACAAACTGGTGAACACTGTCGAGGGACGCAAGGTCTAAGTGCATTATGGTGTAGTTCTCCTTAGGAATGCCTGCTGATTTTGCTGCTCTTTCAGTTTTTAGAAAGTCTCTACATGCCATAATCACATGCCATTTTCCTGTCTCAGCTAGTGCTTTTGCTGTGGCTAGGCCTAATCCTGAAGAGGCTCCAGTAACTACTACACACCCTTTTCTTAATGTTTTCTTTCCTGACACAGAGGCATTAGTAACACCTGGAGTTGCAACCATTGTCTCGGCTCTAATAGATCCATGGGACAACCTTCTTTGGCTCTGCATAAAATTCAATATCAGTTAACAATCTGGAATGAGTTAATTTCACGTATAATCACTGAACTTAGACTTATAGTAAGTAAACTTTAGTTACTTTAATGCGACACAAATAGTCTTGAGACTATACGTTATAATAAGTAAAGTTCAATTACTATAATTTGACAATATGTGACAAACGAATACTTGTAACTTTATTATCATAGTTGGTAAAGCTCCAGAACCTTCTAATTTAGACACATTGGAACCAACTTTATACTTGTTTGGTGCGTGGGATAATAATCTCGGGAATAAATTTGAGATGATTTTATAAAATTGCGGTACCCCAAGATTAGTTATTTCGAAATTGTAGTGTTATTTTATTCCTATAGGATAGCGAGATAACAATCTCGGGATAACTTGTTTCCCAAGCAAACGATCCCTAAATTATTTTTAGAAAATGTACATCTAGGTACCTTGACTTTGAATAAAGAGCCAAAATCAGATTTAATGTGGTATGAGAGAGAAATTCCAAAGAGACTAGAATCCTTCAAAGTTGCACTAGCTTTTCCCTGCAAGATAAAATGAGTTGGAAAAAAGAATTAGTTGAAACTTCAGATTTCAAATGCAGACTAAAGAAGTATAGAAAGTAACACAAACCTCCTTGGGAATAGAGAAAGCAGAAGGAAGTAGGGCAGCAGCCTGAAGGGCCATGAATATAAGGAATTGAGTTTTATCTAAATTGTCAGCTGAAGAATTAAGTAATGATTCTTGGACTGGCACTACAAGTAGTGTGAATGCTAATAAGGATTTGGGCACTTATATATAGAGTGAGAATGATGGGGTGTTACTGTGATTTGAGACAAAACAATCGATTGTCAATTGGCGATAAGATAAATTTGTAGTATGTCCCACGTCAATTGTAAACCACCAATCAGGCTTCAAGAATTAGATTTCCTTTTGGTATTTATATGACATAAAATATCCTTTAACATAATGTTACCTAGTCAAAAGAATAGGATACTATTTGGCTCTTTACCCAATGCAATCCACTTCCATAAGGTATGGGCTTCAGCATGGAAAATCTACCGATGATAGTGGCACAGTGGATAAAGGGCAGTCGGATAAAACTATTGTCACATTGAGTAATTAAATATTGCTGTCGTATTTCTTTTTAAGTTTTATATGTTGGTGGTGTATAAATTTCTTATGTTAGAACGTGTTAAAGTATACTTATAATTTTTGTCTAACATTTTAAGTTCTAAGTACCACGTTTTCATGTATGGTTGACTTTTAAGTATATGCCTGTGTATATATTGATGGAAAGTTAATGCGATTATAAAACTTGCTCTAAACATCCGATTTTGAAGACTTATGCTCCCCGTGGAACAATGGGTATTTCTTGAATTACAGCCTTTATATGACTGTACTTGCATCCCGGAGAGGCTAGATCCAGGACTACTTTACCTGTAAGAATTAGGTGGTAACTTAATGATACAACTAGTAATTGCATTCTAAAAGGACTCTAAGCAGATGTTTCAATTCCTTTTCTCTTACCTCGACCTCACCATTGAGTGGCGTGGCAGAGCTACATTGGCTCACGAATGGTCAATTTTCTTTTAATTAAAGTCATGCACCCGGGCTATATTGATCGGTGGTGTTGGGGGATTTAGCATTATCTTCTACCTTATTTATTAGGGATATTAGGCTAAAAGCATATGCCTTTTAGTATACTTACGCCTTATATCTTATGTGTTTTGATGTGGATTGCATTGTTATTAGGGTAATTTGTGCTCAATACATGTTTTATATGTGCAAGAACGTATTTAGATGAAAGCGGACTGAACGGAGATAATTTGGTGCAAAAAAGAATTTGAAAACTCAAGAAAACTAAAGCATATAATGAACGTCTTCGCCGGCTCGCGTCGCGTCCCATATAGACGAATCAGGGAAGTCAGCCCTTATACAAAACACTGAATCAAGGGGAAGGCGACAGCTCTCGCGAGCCATGCATAAAAAAGTGTTGATCGAAGGACACTCGCGAGCAACACAGACGAGCCCTTCAGTTATCCTGTCCGAATTTGAATTGTCTCGAGTATTCCCATGCAAAACCTAGGCTGTATATAAACGTCATGAAACGTCTTTTGTTAAAGGTTACGCATCTTTAGAGGCACACACGAGGAGCAGAAGATAACAGAAATTGGCTCAAATTCACTCAATACTAGAAAATGACTAATTTTCGACTACCAAAACCATAAAACTCAATCAGAAATTCGATTTTCTAATAAAATCGATCAGTCAAAAAATAATTGGTCGGAGTCCTCTTTCCAACTGAATAGATGGCAAAACCGGTCATCTGAAATATTTCAAAGTCGACTACATTGGACTTCACAATACCTATGTTGCGCAACACCTCGTGAAAATGGTCCAAATAATCTTATGGGTTCTCAGAATGTGTACCACCAAAATGAATAGGAAAGAGCTTGGTGAACTTATCCAACCTCTACAATCCCTCAGAAGACATCACGGGCCTCTCCCCGGTCTATGTAGCAATAATTGGCTTAACTACTCCAACTGTTGGAACCGTCAGAGTCTGATATAAGGGAGCCATCTGCTCCAGAGTGTGAGTGGGGGAGTCTGAGCTCCTCCCCCAACCTAAGAGACAGTTGGTGCCATAGGAAATACTCCGGCCTAGGACATACTCTCCATGAGGCCCACTAAGCGGACTAGGGTGTCCTGAAGTACGGGAATAACAATAAATCCATTCGGGACCTTAGTGGGTCAGACTGGTGCGGTCTGAATAGGGGTTTCCTCCTCATTCTCAATCTGAGGCTCTGCGGTGGGTGCTGCTGCACGTGTTCCAGGCTGAGCTCTACCTCTGCCTCGACCCTTGCCTCGGCCCCTACCCCTAGTAGTGCCTGCAACATGGGGCTCTAGCTCCTGTCCGGCTATAGATGTTGTGCGTGTTCTCACCATCTGCGAGAGAACAAGAATAGAATGGTTCAAACTTCAGTAATAGAATAAAGTTGCACGATACAGAAGGAAAGCAGTGAAATTTTCTTAAAGCCCTATAGCCTCTAGAAGATAAGTACAGTCATCTCTGTACCGATCATCTAGACTCTATTAAGCTTGTTCATGACTCGTGAGGGCTAGAAAACCTAGTGTTCTGATACCAACTTGTCAAGACCCGGAATCCCAACCTTGGGGTCGTAATGGCACCTAACATTTAACTTGCTAGGCAAGCCAACGTTAGCTAATTACTTAACTAGTTTTAATAACTTACAACAGAGCATTAATAATACAAAGCTATAATATATTGAAATAGATGTGATAAATACAACGTAGCATCGTCTAAACATATCCCAGAAATCTGGAGTAACGAATACACGAGAATACTAGAATTCTACAGAAAAAGTCTGAATGAATTACAGCAATTCGAAATAAGGACAACAGTAAAGATGGGATAGAAGGGGACTTCAGGGACTGCGAATGCCATCAGCTCTACCTCAAGTCTTCAAAAGCAGTTGAATCAGAGCAGTCTCTGTTACGCGTCGCTGGGACCAATACCGATATCTGCACAAGAAGTACAAAAATGTAACATGAGTATAACTGACCCATATACTCTGTAAGTGCCGAGCCTAACCTCGACGAAGTAGTGACGATGTTATGGCAAGTCACTCACAAATAACTTGTACGGAATAATGATAATAGATAGCAGAAATAGAAATAAAGCAGTAAACTCATAATAACATACCCAAAGATCAACTATCAGAGGGACCCAAAATAATATAATCTCAAATCTCGTATCACAATATCAAGAATAAACTCTTCAGTCACAAATAACTACGACACATGAAATCTGTTGCTGTATGCAACCCGATCCCAAGTTTCAACACAATATCTTTCTTAGCGTGCAATTCATTTTCAATTTCATATCATATCATTTCCTGTTCCGTTGCGGTGTGCAATCTGAACCCCAATATTAATTCCTTTCAATATTATTGTAGCGCGCAACCCGATCGCCCAATAACAAATTATTAACATAAATAACTCAACACCACTATTTACAAAATATCAACACAAAAGAGAATGAAACGTACAAAACATTAAAGAACTACCAATACAAATAAAGAATATCCAACATCTCGTACCAAACCTTAACGATTCATCAATAATAAATGACTCACGTATAAAAACATGTGATAATGGAAATTTACAGCTGAGGCAAGTAGGAACATGTAGCAGGTAGATAGATATTGAGTGAGAAATGAATAAATCAAGCAAGTAACAATTAATTAATAATTAACTAGTAAAACATAGATATCAAGTAAGAACATATAACAATTAAAGTATATAACAAGAGATAACATGGAATAAATAAAGACATGGAAAAAAATAGCCCAATCCCGCATGTTAAATCCTAGAACGACGTATTGTGATGACTCGGTAGGTCGTTTTGGGTACTAGTCCTTATTTTTGTATTCTGAAACCTCATGTAGCCTTATTTGATGTTTCTTAGTTTGCGTTCGTGGTCAGTGTTGCTTTTCAAAAATCTTTTATATGAAATTTTGATAAAAATAAAAAATTTGACTAAAAATGAGACTAGAGTTGACTACAGTCAATATTTTCTGTAAATGATCCCGGATCGGTATTTTGATAATTACAGTAGGTCCGTATTGTGATTTTGAACTTGGTCATATGCCTGGAATTGAATTTAGAGGTCCCCAAATTGATTTGACTCGTTTTGCCGAAAGGTAGCAATTTGAAGTTTAGAAATTTTTTAGGTTTGACCGTAGGTTGACCTTGTGGCTATCGGGTTTTGATATTTGATTTTGGGACTTGGTATATGTCCGTTTTGCTATCTGAAACTAGTCTGTAAAATTGGTGTAAATCAGAGTTGGTTTGATAGGATTCGGACGCTTGGTTGTGATTTTAGAGGTTCTTGAGTTTTTTTTTGAAATTTCATGCATTTTGATGTCCGATTCGTAGTTCTAGATGTTATTTTGGTTCTTTGATCGTGCGAGCGAGTTTGTATCATGTTATTACACTTGTGTGCATATTCGAGTTGGAGCCCGTAGGGCTCAGAAGAGTTTTGGAGGTGCTACAATGAGTTTTGAATGAAATATAATAGCTGGTGTGCTTTTCAGTTCTGGTGTTGATCTGCAGATCTCGCATTTGCGATGTCTAGCTCGCAAATACGAGCATCGCTTTTCCGAACATGATTTTGCATTTGCAAGCAGCGGCATGGGCTGGGCATCTCGCAATTGCGAGGAAATGGTTCTCATTTGCGAACTAGCTAGGACCGCTTTTGCAAGTATTTCGGTCGCATTTGCGACTCCTGGAAATATAGGACATCTTCGCATTTGCGAAGGGTTAGTTGTTCGCATTTGCGATAAAATTGTCGCATTTACGATGTTCGCATGTGCAAACAAAAGTTCGCAATTGCGACATCCGCAGCTAGGTATAAGAGGAAAAATCGAGACTTAGCTCATTTTACACCATTTCACAACCCTAAACACACTAGAGGCAATTTTTGAAGAGCATTTTCTTCTCAAATTCATTGGTAAGCAACTTTAATCCATTTCTTTTCAATTATTCATTACTTTTCATGTGTTTTTAACATTAAATCTAGAATTTTCAAGGTAGAAATTAGGGATTTGGCTAAAATTTAGGGATTTTTGCAAAATTCAGATTTAGACCTCAAATTGAGGTCGGATTTAAAAATAAATAACCGTGTTCGCGGGTGAATGGATAAACGGGTTTTGGTCTGAATCTGGGGTTTTGACTAAGCGGGCCAGGGGG